GCATCCAAGGCGATGGCAGGGTCAGCCCTGGGTCAAGACTGAGGTCAAGACCCTGCCTGCCCCTCCCACATCAGCATGAGCCCACTGGAACATGCTCCTTCCGGGGCCCTCCCCATCGCCCCCCGCCAACCAGCTCCAGGGCACAGGCCAATCCTTCCTGGGTTCCTCAGCTCCCCCAACCCCCCCAACCCCCCCCCCCCCCCAAGCCTCCATCCAGGCCCCCAGCCTGGCTCAGCACAGCTCACCTACCTGCCCCAGGACACTTCTTCCCCATCGACTGGCCAGAGTGCTGGGCCACACCACCCACCTGCCACAGCCTCCCATGACTGGCCCTATCTGTTTCAGGGCCCCCAAAACACGGACTTTGTTTCCATGGATCAAATGAATCAAACTCGTTCCTACCTCAGGGCCTTTGCACAGGCAAATCCTCTACCAGAACACTGGACCCGTGCTACTTTCCTCCCGAGGTCACTTCCCCCTGGCAACACCACGACACTGATTTCTTTCCCCACTACGTGCTCGCCACCGACCAACACACTCTCATCCAGGCGAAGGCAAACATTTCCCATAAAGCATGAGACCATGAGTATTTCTGACTCTGCCAGCCATAAGGTCCATAAGCAAAAGTGCTCACAGACAAGTCTGTGAATCTGCGGGTGTGGCTGTGTGCGAATAAAATTTTTTAAAAAGATTTATTTATTTGACAGACAGAGATTACAAGTAGGCAGAGAGGCAGGCAGAGAGAGGGGGAGAAGCAGGCTGGCTCTCCGCTGAGCAGGGAGCCCAACGCAGGGCTCGATCCCAGGACCCTGAGATCATGACCTGAGCCCAAGACAGAGGCTTAACCCACTGAGCCACCCAGGCGCCCCGTGAATAAAATTTTATTGATAAGAAAACGGGCTAGATGGACCTTGGCCCCAGCGGCCAGGCTGCTGACCGGGATCCTGTCTGTCTACTTGTTCTCCATGACAGCCTCGAGGGAGCCGCCCGGCTCACTGCACCTAGAGCCCCGCTGGCCCCTAGCAGGTGCCCAATCAGTGCTGAATGAGCACTGTCCAAGGACAAAGGAAGAGGCACCCACACGTCCTCGTGCAAACAAGAGTCCGACAGCAGACCCTCGGTGGTGCCAGTATCTGTGCGGAAGCAGCAGCCCACGTGTGGCCTCCTGGAGCTCACCCATCTGTCCGAGGAGGGAGGCTCCCTGTGCCCACACGGAGCTGGCTACCTGCCAGGGGCACTTCGGAGCTTACAGGTCTGTCCACGCTCATCACACCCATCTCACAGGTGGAGACACTGAAGCGGCGTGTCCCCCTGGCTAGCAAAGGGCGCACCTGGGATGAGAACTGGGTGGCTGAGCTCCAAGGCCTCTCCGCAGAAGGGACTGAACCATCAGAGGTCCAAAGTGTCCCTCCACCAAGCAGTATCCAGGACAGAATTCCAGCTGGGAGATTCCCGCCTCCAAGGGACGCAAGGGCAACAAGGGGGTGAGAGACCATTGGCCCACAACTACAGAAGAGGCCTCTGCTGACAGGCCCCACCCCACCCCTGCGCGCCCAACCTTCGCGCAGGGTGCGCCGTCTTCCTTTCTCTCCTTCGGTCCTCCTGCCAGTGTTGGGGGAGACGTCACTAGGAAGGAAATAGTTGGGCAGAAACTGGACAAAGAGCTAAGGAAGCAAACAACATAGATATGAAGGATGAGGGCACATGTGCAAAGGCCCTGGGGCAGGACCAGGCCTGGTGTGTAGGAGGAACAGCGAAGGGGCCCGTGCAGCTGGAGCAGAGTGGGCGAGGGGGAAAAAGGGAGGTCGTGCAGGGCCTCACGGGCCTCGTGGAGGACTTGGGTTTTTACCCCAGGAAGGTGGGTGTCCTGGAGGGCTACCGGCAGAGGAGAGTGGGACCTAAGTCAGTTTTCTGGAATGAGCTGCTGGGAGCATGGAAGAGATGGGATACCAGGCCAGCGATGGATGACGGGACTAGACCAGGTGGGACAGAGAAGAAGGAAGAAGTAGGCAGACTCTGGGTCCACTCTGAAGACAAAACCAGCATAATCTGCCACCAGATTAGATGTGGGAGGGGGCCAGGGGGCTGCTGCTGGGAGGGAAGCCAACTGTTCTGTGATATCATGGAAGCAGGAAGAATGGGAGGGAAATGGCTCAGAAAACCACACCTTGGCTCAGGCCAAAACCCCCAGGCAGGTCACAGGTCCCAAGGGCCGACACTGTGGACGCATCCAAGCCCCCAAAAGCCGGCAGAGGACCCCATCCAGCCCTCTCTGGACCAGACCATTTACATAACCAGATTCTAAACACATAGTGTTTATCATTTCACCTCCATCAGACTGGCCAAAACCAAGGAGGCTGGTAACATTCGGAGTTGGCAACACTGGGGTAAGGGTCTCTCTCGGCCCCTGCCAGACCTTTCTGGAAAGCCGGTGGGCATCAGAGAACAATTTTCAAGCTGCTCGCCACGGCCCAGGCACTCCAAAGCAGAGACTTCAACCACCAGGAGTTCAAGCGCCACAGGTAGGGGCCAAGTTCAAGGATGTTTACAGGAAATGGTGGACTCCAGAAGCAGCCAGAATGGTCCTGGGCAGGAGGCTGGCTGAACCAGTAACGGGCTGTCCCAAAGGTTCCCCAAGCAGTCTCACATGCTGCCTCACGCTAATTCAGGTGAGGCTCACGGCCAGCCCCAGCAGGCACACACATCACTCCATTCCACAGACGGGGCTACTGAGGCTCCGAAAAGTCAAGGCATTTGCCCTTCAAGGTCACGCAGCAACTGAGTGGAAGCCAGGCGGTTTGACTGGGCTTCTCCCCCTCTTAACCATGGCCCCATATTCTCTCCCTCTGAAGAAAGTAACTGATACCAACAGCCGGGGTGGGAAATTCAGATTCCTATGGATAAAAAGCCAGCCAAGTTATGGGATAACATAGAGTGAGGTCAACGGTTGTCACCTAGGGTGGCCATGTCTCCAGGGAACACGGGAGAGGTCTGGGGACATTTACGGTCATCACAACTCAGGGGCGGTGCTCCTGGCACTGAATGGGCGAGGCCAGGGATGCCACTCAGTCCCCTCCAGGGCCCAGGACACTGCCTCCAACACAAAGAATCTTCCAGCCCAAAACACTAATAATGCCAAGGCGGAGAACCCCTAGTGGGGCATGGAACCATCTTGGCGAAGAAGAAGCAGATGTGTTTATGGATTTCTACATTTCTATGAGCAGGAGGAAAAGCCTGGACGGTTATCACCCACACTTAGGATTTACATCAGAGAAATGAGTTTGGAAAGGAAGCAGCAGCTCTTAATTTTAAACTGAGTGAAATAAATGATTTGCTGGGGGAGTCAGATTTCTGTGGATCTTGGTGACAGACCGCCGGGGCTGGACACTTATCTTCCGGGTCGCGCACACCCAGTGCTTAGAACCAGCAACCCCAGGTGCCTGGGACCTTATCTGCCCCCATCTGAGCCCTTAACAAAACAAATGTTTGCTCTGTGGCTTCCTCGTCCTCACTGAGTCTTGGTCTGTTTTGTCTCTAACCAGCCCTCATCGGAGGACTGATGGTGGAGGTCAGGGGTCTGATGAAACAGAGTGTGTCTGGGTACCTGAACCATGTCTAAGGCTAGCAAGGCTGGGGCACGAATGCCCGGCCGAGAACAAGGGCGAGGCAACCGGATGGCCGAAGGAAGCGGGTCATCGACGGAGCACTTCCAGATGGCAGCAGGGACAGAAGTGGCGGGAGGCTTCCAGAGCCCAGGGGGGAAGCTCGCCGCTAGCCCTGTCACACTCTCTCCAGATATTTCGCCCAACCCCCCCCCATCCCCCAGCCGCACAGCATATCCCGCCTGCCAAGGAAGCTTCAGGAGGCCTGGGGGAGAAGGAGGACGGATGCCCGTGTGGGTGTCTGCAGGGCCTCCGCTAGCGAGGGCTGCCTGAGGAGAGCAGCCGATCCTGCAGATCCGGAAACTTCTGTCTGGAAGCTGGAGAATGTGACCAAGAAGGAAGCTCAGAGGAGAAGGGGCCATTCCTCCGGGCAGCAGCCCGGCTCTACCCAGGGTATGGCGGGCTCGCCAAGAGCCCACGGGGTTGGGCCAGGCCACCTGGCCCCACACACCTGCTGTTCTGGAGGGCGAGGGAGGATCAGGGTCCCCACATGCCAACAGTCGCCCTCCAGTGTCCAGGGAAAAGGCTGGGGGGGGGCAACTCTTTCTCCCCCACCTGCCTGCAGAGAGAGCCCTGACTCTGAAGGCACCCCCAGATGTCATGTCCTCAGTCCCCTCCTGTCATAAGGAGGTAAACTGAGGCCCAGAAAGGCAATGAATGGCCAGTGCGCTAGAAACCGGGTCCGGTGACTCCCACGGAGACAGATGAGACAGTCAGGAGGCTGGCCCAGATGGCCTCAGAGACCCCCCCCCCCGCCACCCTGGCAGCTTCTGCCCTTCACCACCCAGAAGACGTGCCCACAGGGGTGATCCCAGGAGCTGACCCCAGCAAGCGGGCGGCCCCAGCAGTCTGTCTCGGAAGGGGGGGCACACCTGGGACGGTATCACCTCCCCTGCCATGCCCACCTCGGAAGCACGGCCCCACCCCAGAATGGGGGTGCTCCACCGTCCCACACACGGAAAGCAGCCCCCCGCCGACAAGACCGGGTGGGACGCCGTCTCCAGGCGCCCCAGGCCGGAGGCAGCGCGCCCACCCACCGCGTGGCCTCACCACCCCCCCAAGCGCCTCCGAAGGGGGGCTGCTCGCCCCTCGGCCTCCCAGCTCCGGGCACCGCACGCGCCCCCGGTACCCCCAGGAAGGGCGGCGCCCCCGCGAGCCCCTCGCGCGGGGAGTCCCATCCCCCCCCCCAGCGGGCGCCCCCGAGTGGAACGTTCCGGCCTCCCCGCGGCGGGTCCCGGCGCCCCTCAGGCGCTCGGGCTGCTCCACTGGGCCGCGGCGGGGGGAGGCCGGGCGGGCCCACTCGGGGCGCGGGGAGGGAGGGAAGTCCGGCACCGTTACCTGCCGCCGCCCCGCTCTCCGCGGCCCAAGCCGCCTCCGAGGTCACGGCCCCCGCCTCGGCGCTCTCCGCCTCGTCCGGCACCTCTAGCTCCATGGCCGCGCGCGCGGACCGGCCGGACGGCGGGCGGCCGGAGGCTGCACCCAAGCTGCGGCCGCCGCCGCGGAACAACAACCGCCGCCGGCTGGAGGGCGGAGGGAGGGGGCCGGGCCCGGGGGGGGGGGCGGGCCCGGGGGCGGGGCCAGCGTGCGCCAGCGCGCAGCGCGCGCGCGCCGCCGGCCGGGACTGGGGCGTGGGGGGGGCCGGGGGGGGGGGGGGGGCCTGGGTGCACCCCCGCGTCTCGAGCGCCCCCACGCGCCCAGGGGGTGGAAGGACGGCGCCGTGCGCGTCGTCTGATCCTGTGGCTGGAACTGTCACACGTCATAAACCCAAGCACCGGTCTACAATTAACCAACTACTTACCATCAGAGCGCCCATGATACTTACGTATGGTGCGTGCTTGGTCATGAGTAGTCCTTATAATGACGTAATAAGTGATGTAATAAGCCGAAATAAATTTGATTTGTACTGACAAGCAAGCACAGTATATAAAGTACGTGAGGTTAAGGTCCAGGCATATTAATACCATTGCCGGACAAAAGTATGATATTACTAGCGTGGAGATAATGTTGACAGAGAACGTGCAAGCGTTATATATAATACATAACACAATGTGTAACATACGGGCAAGTTACAAGTAACAGTGTAATTAAATGTCGGACTGCATGTGAAAGCTTCTGTGAGCAGTCTCTCCGGAAGTCAGGGGTCTATTCCTTGTTAATAATACTTATCCAGTACCTAATATAGAACATAACACCTAGAAGGAAATAAATATTTGATAGAATTGATCAACCAGATGGGGACTGTCATCACTCCCATTTTACACACAAAGAAAACAGGATCTCAGAACGTGGAGGTCACTTGCTGGAAATCACAAAGAATCATGCTGCCTGTCAGTGTATTTATGAACTGGGTTAAGAATAATTGTGTTCAGGGGCGCCTGGGTGGCTCAGTGGGTTAAAGCCTCTGCCTTTGACTCGGGTCATGATCCCAGGGTCCTGGGATCGAGCCCCGCGGAGCCTGCTTCCTCCTCTCTTTCTCTGCCTGCCTCTCTGCCTACTTGTGATCTCTGTCTATCAAAAAAAAAAATAAATAATCTTAAAAAAAAAAGAATAATTGTGTTCAAAAAAAAAAGAATAATTGTGTTCACATCATTGTTAAAGTTTAGTGGTGAATTTATTGATGATATGGCTTGGTGGTTACTAATTCTGAGGTCATGATTCAGGGGGTAATAAATGTTGTTATTATTAGTTTTGTTCATGACTAACGATTTCAGCTGGGGGGGGCAAGTGGAGGGATTTGGGTCCCCATATGGTAAGGGACAGACCTAGAATGTTTTCACCCAAGCCTGTCTGACCCTGGAAACTTGGTCCCTCACCATTGTCTGGGGTGCTGGCAAGGTAGGTGGGAGACTGGGCTCTGGGGTGCTTGGCAGTGGGACGATGGGGAATCAGGAAGATGGAGCAGGTCACAATCATACACAGAGGTTAGAAAGATGTTTCCGAAATGTTTTCCCATCAATATAAGGAGACAAATCAAGAAAGGGAAGGGATAATGGGGTGGGAGGTTGGGTGAGTCTGGTGGTGGGTATTATGGAGGGCACGTGTTGCATGGAACACTGGGTGTGGTACATAAACAATGAATTCTGGTACACTGAAAAGAAATTTTAAAAATAAATTTAAGGGGCGCCTGGGTGGCTCAGCGGGTTAAGCCTCTGCCTTCGGCTCAGGTCATGATCCCAGGGTCCTGGGATCGAGCCCCGCGTCGGGCTCTCTGCTCAGCAGAGACCTGCTTCCTCCTCTCTCTCTCTCTGCCTGCCTCTCTGCCTACTTGTGATCTGTCAAATAAATAAATAAATAAAATATTTTAAAAATAAATAAATAATTTTTTTAATGAAAGGGAAGGGATGGGGAACAGGACTCAGGGTGTGGCAAAAGGGACCCCCAGTTTAGCTGTACCTGGTTAGAAGGGAGCCAGCAGAGAGTGGAGTCCAAAGACTTAAGGGATTCAAAGGATGAAAGAGAAACAAAATGTGGTCCATCCACACATTGGAATGTTATTCAGACTCAGGAAGGAAGGGACCCTGACACCTGCCACGATGTGGGGGGGCCCTGAGGACACTGGGCTCAGGAAGAGGAGCCAGACCCAGCAGGATACCTCCCGCAGGACCCCACTCCCAGGAGGGCCCCGGAGGAGTCCCGTCCACACAAAGAGGAGACAGTGGGAGCCGGGGCTGGGGCAGGGGGTGGGGGTTCATGCTTTGTGGGGACAGAGTCTCCGTGTGGGGAGATGGAAAGTTCTGGAGACAGAGGGTGGGGGTGGCTGCAGGACAGTGTGAGTGTGCTTCGTGCTGCTGAGCTGTGCACTTAGAGATGGTGAGAGTGGTAAATTTTATGTTGTGTGCATTTTTACCATCATTTACCAACAATAACAAAAAACCTCCAGAAAGAGCCCTTTGGACATATGCCATGATGGATCTCCTGAATCATCTTGAATCTGTTTTGTTTCTTTTTTAAGATTTTATTTTTGTTTTTAAGTCATCGCTACACCCAACACGGGGCTCGAACTCACAACCCCGAGATCAAGAGTCACACGCTCCCCTGACTGAGCCAACTCGGCGTCCCTCCTTTAAAACCCATTTTTGAAAGGTTAGAGGGATGGGTCTCAAAGCATGGTCCTTGGACTGGCCGTAGCAGCTTTACCCAGGAGCGTTTTTTAAAATGCAGATTCTCAGGCAGCCCCAGACTTCGTGTATGAAACACTCCATAGGTGGGCCTATAATCTGGGTTTCAAGCAACACTCTCCCACCCCTACTCTAGGCAGTTCAGATGCCTGAATTTGACAACCACTGACTCCACTGGAGAAGGGCTGGGTGGCTGGGCCAGTGATAAGGTCATGAAAAGAAACCAAATTAAAAAAAAAAAAAACAACTTTCAGGTTGATTCAGAATGTCTCCTGGAAGGAAGTCAACACTAAAACTGAAAAAAAAAACCAAAAAGTGGCCAAACTGGTCTTATTTAGACATGCGGAAGTGAATGTCAAAATAATCAGTTAAAAGACGCTAAGGAGGGGGTGCCTCTGGGAGGGGAGAAATGGTGGGGTGACTAGGGCACTGCTGATTTTAGCAAGCCTGCATGAGAACTTGACCCTTCTGAGTGCGTGCATTATTGGGAAAAACAACCCCAAACTGGCATTGTGGAAGGCAGGAGAGTTCGGGCAGGGAAAGGAGAGGAGGGGCAGGGATCCCGGTGGGGTCGCAGGCGGGGGGCTCGCAGCTTCTGATTCTCCTACTTCGTTCTTTGACAGGGTCCTGCTCCTGGATTCCCATTTTGCAGGCTGGGAAACTGAGGCTGCCTGGCTGGGGCCGGTTACCTGGTTTCTGGCGCCCCCTGGCGGCTGTTACCATTAGCGCCAGGTGTCCCTGGTAGGAGGACTCCTGGTCCTTCCATCCCCTTCCCCATAATCCACCCATCCATCCATCCATCCAGGCCACAACTATTTATTGAGCACCTACTGTGTACCAGATACTGTTCTAGGCCACAAGAATGAACAAGACAAAAATCCATAACCTCAATGAGGCGACATCCTAGAGAAGACAGATAAACAGGCATGAGACAGAGCAGTTTCGGTGCTAATAAATACTTGGAAAAGAACACAGATGCAATACAACGACGACAGAACGTGATGGATAGTACGCGTTAAGCCCCTGCTTCCCCGTTGTCCAATAGAACGACCACGCAAGCCAGTTTAAATTTAAAACTTTAAATGTCATTTTAAATTTTCCTAGTGACCACATTTGGAAGCATGAAAAGTGAACAGGTAAGATTAATTTTAACAATATATGTCACCTAACCCAAAACATTCTAGGTGTGGGAATCAAAATAAAAAACGAGTTATTTTACGTTCTTTTTTTGCATGCCGAGCCTTCCAGATCCGACGTGTGTCTTACAACTACCCGCACCTTCTTCTTTCTGACCTGTGGATGGATAGTGGCTAGAGGGTGTGGATGTACTTCGTACCCAGCATGGTTCTATAAGCACTGTCCAGACACCCATTCACTTATCCAACTTCTGAAACAGTCTTAGGAAGCAGAGGCTGGTGGGTTCTTGCCATTCTTCAGCTGGGAAAACTGAGGAGACACAGCAACTTGCCCGAAGCTGCCCAGCAAGGTAACAGTTGAAGACTCCTAGAGTAGGAATCCAGGAGTCCAAGCACTGGCAGAATTTGCACTCAGATCTGTCCAGCAGGAAGGAGCAGTAATCTGTAGTAATCTGTGGGATGGAACGCCTGCTGGAAGGGCTTGTCAGCCCCAGGTTCCAGGAGGGCCGTGAGAAGGGGAGCTGAGAGCTGTTCGTTTTCCCAAGGACCTGCCTGTATGTTCCAGTCCCTGTGCTGATGCCAGGGCCTGGCGCTCAGTGGCACAAACAGGGCAGTCAGTCCCTCAGCGTCCCTGGCCTCTGGGCTAGCAGGGGTTAAGGCCAGCTGCTCCCACGTGAGAGCACCTTGCAACAAAGCCACACACCCAACCAGCAGCTTGTCTCTCTCTGGCGTTGTGCACCTTGTCCTGCTGGTTCCACCTGCCACGGGACAGAACGCTGCCTCTGCAAGGGAGGAAAAGTTGGGGAACCAAGTGGGGAGGACAGAGCTCAAACCTCAGGGCCCCTCCCCACCCCCATGCCAGGCGGGCACCTGAGCCCTGGCTGCCGCTGCCTGCCCAGAGGCCATCCTGCCTCCTAGACAGGTAAGTCCTCCCCTCCCCATTCTGCTCTGCACAGAGCAGCACCAGCTCCCTGACCACGGGGTCCTGGGACCGCCATCATCTCCCCTCGACTGCCCGGAAAACAGGAGACAGACACTCCTGTGTGGGCATTTGACATAGTTTCTAAGGGATTATCTGGCTAGCAGTTACGGCCCCTGGCAACCTGCCCAGGACACCGGAGCCAGAGAATTAAAAGGGTCATTGTTGCCCCAGGTGGTGCCAGGGAGGAAGAAGAGGCAAAGGCTGGCCTCTGAG